TCAACTTGGCACCTGGTCCAAAGCTTCTGACTTTGGCGGGCTTTAATAACCACTAGTGACCATTAGTGACCTGTGTTGCAAGCTGTGAAGCACTTTTGTGTTCTGCTTTTCATACAGAAACTATTCTAAAAATTCTATTTTGTTTATAATCTTCATAAGTGCACAGATTAATGTTAACAAGTCTGGCTGCTGTGTAAAAATGACTGAAATGTACACAGAGGCATCAAAGACTTACTTTTCTCTACATGACTCTTATAAAAGTCTTGGAGGAGTAAACCACTGCTGGACTCTGAGCAGGATGGCTGGGGGCAGACACCATGCTCTAAACATAAGCCTTGTATCTAAACGAGTGGTGCCATTTCTCTTGGCATCCCACTTGTCATAGAAATCTGATTAAAATGACTAATACATAGTACATATGATAAATTTTAGAGCTGTTCAAAAGCCTCAACCCTTAGTATCCCAATGTAAATCATGACTATAAGATGGACTCAATCTAATAAGTCCACTTTTGTTCCCTACAATCAATGCCACAGAAGACAACCAAAGTCTAAGTCAGATCACACCATCATCCTGCTTAAACTTCATCATTTGGATAAAAGGCATACTCAAGAAATATTGCAAGGCCAATGTTTGTCTGCATTAGCTTGCCCCTTCTTCTGATGTCCTTATCTTCTCTGTTCCCTATACTGTTTAGCCCTTTTACTCTTCTAACACACTAAACTTTTCTTCTTTGTACCATAAGGCCTTTGTACTAGCTGTTACTATGTTTATGATTCTCTTACCCTGGTTGCTTGCAAGCAGGTCCTTTCTGTACTTTAATCTTCAAAGTGGCCTTCTCTGAAAATCCTATCTGTGATGATTGTATCTGTTCCTGGTCATGCATCTCTTTCTGTTTCCTTTATAGCACTTACATGTTCTGGTTAATTGTCTGTATTTCCAATTCACTTAAAGTTTAAGCTCTAAAAGTACAGGGACAATAGCTATCTCTTCCTTTCTAGATTCCTAGTAGCTAGCAAACTTGAGCACCCATTAAATCATTGAGTGACTGAGGTCTCAAGCCCAGATTCCAGTTTCAGTGAGCAAATCCACCAGCAGAGCAAGATATAAACTTTAATATCAGGACCTTTTCCAACTGTATTCTTTTCATTCTCCCCCCCCCCCTTTTTTTAAATCCAGAAAGACACTAACTAGCCATCTTGAAATTTCTGGATATCCTATCCCAAGTATGAAAAATTTCTCTCTTTTACTTCAATTGCCCACTTCTTCTTTTGTAGTTTTAAAGTCCAATTTGTGATCCCAGACTTCTTATCTTCTAGTTTTCTTATTTTTGCTTCACTTATAAGCTTGAGCATGAGAAGCCTCATTGGTAACTGAGTACAGGTTCAGAGAGCCAAGACTCCAAGGCAACGGGTGGAGTTTTGCCCATGCCAGGTGTCAGGACTGCACCACGTGGTGTTCCACGGTATCCTGTAGCAACTGGGACACCAAAACACAGACCAGCAATTTCAACCTACAGTGAGAGAGGTATGGGAGCCAGGAAGGAATGTTGTACATCAAAATGAAGGGAGTATAGCCAGGCATAGGTAGAGTCTAGAAAATTCCCCAAAGAGGTCAGGAATACTGAAGTGGGTAGAAAGGAGGGGACAGGAGTGGAGTCCCAGATTTTCTTGGAAAACCAAAGCCCTCTTTCATGAGCTATCACAACCTGGCTCCTGGCTTCCCTGTCTCACCACATCTGCATTTTGCCAATGATTTTTTTCAATCCAATTTTAATGGGCAGTTTCAAGTTTTCATCTTACTGAGCTGCTTGGCTGCAGCTGACCCTGTGGATAGTCCCCACACCCTGAAACTCTCTGATCTGTCTAGTTCTATAGTACCTCAAACCCCAGTTCTCTGCTGACTGTCTCTTTCACTTTCCATCTGCTGTTCCCCAACACCTTCCTTGTACCTTCTCATTCCTAATTTTACATATTGCCTATACTATCTCTCTCACCTTCTCCCTTCTTCTGGCACCTGAATTTGGAAGAGCAGACCAGCCTCCCTTAGATAGTTCTTTTATGACTGAGTATATCCAGCAGCTGGCTCGATGTCTCTCCCTGGATGCCTCGTTGGTATCTCAGGCCCAAATATTCTAAACTGAACTCCTAGTCCTATCTTTCCCACCTCCTTTCGTTCTAGTGGTGCTCATTTCAATTGATAATTCTATCATCCATCCAGGTACCCAAGTGTAAAACCTGTATGTGCAATCTGACTAGTTGATCTTTCTCAGTACCAATATCTGTCATTTCCCTTATTGATTCTGCAAATTTTAATCAAGCTATGTGGTTTGTTAGATGCCATTTTAATTATAATCTAAACTATACAGGTGCAATTTCTGTTTTCATGAAGCTTATAAAGAACTGCTTGACTTTACCTCTAAAATGTTTTTCTTTACTCGTCTTCCTTCTCCTTTTTTAATGATGGTACTTGTTAGAAAATAGATGCTCAATTAGTCCTTATTGAATGAATACATAAGGATGTAACTATCTGAACATCTGCTTTCTACATGGCTTGGAATATGACACAGGAACACAATGTCATTAAAAATATTTCTGAGCATACATTATGAATCAATAGAAGCCCAAACATCTGGCCAATCTAGCTGGAAAATCCCCAATGAAGCATTAGTAGATTTTATTTGCATTATGCAAACACTCAGATGGTCTGAGCTTCTGTGAATTGACTGGGTGTTCTGGCATCACGTAGGTTCAGACAGACCAGTCTTGATCTCTTCCAGGGGCATATTATGTCCCTGAATTGCACATATGGCTCACTGACTTCTAGAATTAAGCCTAAGTACAAATGCTGACTAGTAGTGCTCATTTTAATCGGCTCAACCATTTCCAAAATGTTATTACTTTGTGCCACGTGATCATTTATCAGAATCAGCACATATCCACTATTCACTTTTAAGTCTAAAACCCTAAAAGTGAATTGAGATTATTATGCAAAAGATGGCATGGTTGATTATATCCAGGTCAAATATATAGTATGTTTAAATATACAGTATGTTTAAAGACTAATAACAATAATCTTTGACAAATATAACATTTTCCATTAGAACTGTTTGGTGACATCAGTAGACACGTTTAGAGAATTAGCCCAGAAATATTTCATTTGTTATTATAAAATGTTATCAGAGCTATCAATCATGAAATGGAACTAAGAATCTCCAGCTCTCCATTTCGGTTTTTTGTAATTAGTAGCAAGGTCAGGTATGATGGCAATTAGAACAATAAGGAATTATCCCAATTCCCACAACCAGTTTTTGGAGAGTTTTCCAAAAGGAAACAATAAAAACAAAGTGCCGAACAGAAAAGCTCAGAGGAAATTTTTGAGGTATTCAGCGTGAAGCATACACTTTCTCTCTAAATAAGCTAATAATAAACAGAAAGTGCACTGTCAGCTGGCCAGGCACCCACTTCAGGAAGTAGTTAAAACCATAATTTTATATACTAGCAAATTAGGTTATGCATACTGATTCAGGGATAGAAAGAAGTGGGCATTGGGGCTGGGGAGATAGCTCAGTAGAATAAGCACTTGACTGGCAAGTGCAAGGTCCTGAGTTCAATCCTTGGTACAACAATTAAAAACAAAACAAAACCAAACAAACAAAAAAAGAAATGGGCATTGAAATCAGTGATGACTTGTGTCGGCATACTATTTTTGTTTGAAAATTAAGCATGCACAAAAGTGTAGCAAAGATCCAAGGGTAGATTCTTTCAAGGTAGTGGGCTAAGTGTACTCTGTGTATTTTCTTAGTTGAATCTGGTGGATGCTTTTCTTCATAGCTCTGTCCCACAGAACTGGGAGGAAACTGCAGTTAACCTGCCAACAGGTGCCACACCAGTCCTCCAAAGTCAGAGGAAAGAATGCTTGCAGCATTTGAAGCTTTCAACTTTAAGTGTCTTTGAAAAGATGCTTCTTATGTATAAGTTAATGAAAAATGTTCAGGTCTATGGATGTAAAAAGTTCCTCCTTCTACGTTTCATAAAACTCCAGACCTTTCTGTTTGGTCTCCTTAGCTTATAGCGCTGTCAGCTCCTGCTTGACTCTGGACCACACTGAAAAGTATAGTCAGATAAATCTTAAATATTGGATTTTTTGGCTTGTTTCTTTAAAAAGGCCTGATGGGGTCACCTCATGCATACATTCAGCCACAAGTGCTCTGTCTAAGTTGTCAAGAAGAGAATCCACATCAGAGCAAGTGATTTGATAATACTCTGAAAAGACATTCTGGACAGACAGAATCTATCCCTCTGCTTTGGTTCTCTTCTGCTCCATCTCAGTTTTCCAGGGATGTGATGTTCCCATTGAGTTTAAAGAAATTCTGATATTTAGAAAAATTATTAGTGATCTAGTCCTTATGCACTGACCTTGTACCCTGGCCTTCATAAAAGATGCAAACTGAGGTACATAAAAACAGCATTGCACGGCCGCTTGATGTGAAATTGCATACAGCTCTTGTACACCCTTACTCTTCTTTTGAGCATCAATTGTTGCTGCTTGCATAGTTCTAAATAAGTGCTTCCCTACTGATTCCGTATTTCAGAGGAGTAATTCAGAACTGCTTACTGTAACTTCTCAGGAAAGGGTCATTCTTAAGTACTTGACTATCCTCTTTAATTGCATCAGTTATATCTTTCTGAGTATGTGTTTTTTTTTTTTTGGGGGGCTAAGATTACAAGCCAGCTTCATATGACATTTATTTTTAGCTAGGTTAAAAAAGAAAGAAAGAAAAAGGAGGCAGTGTTAGGAATTCACTGGCATTTCTGCCATTTCCTGAAATTGCATACATAGGTTAATTCTTTCCTAAGGAGACGTGTTTGATCATTTCCAATTATGGTTCTCAGTGGAGAAAAGGTTAAAAATGAAATCCGTTTTCTCCAGGCATCTGGGTTGGAGATGAACTCTGGCATGCATTTGCAGCTAAGCAGAAGAAAAAAGCCAAAACTTACGTTCTGTTTCCCCACGATGTTATCAAAGGGCAATTCTGGGCTCCAAGATCCTTCTGTGAATGTTGCCCCACTGTTTCTCCTGTCAGAGGAGCTCACTGATTCTTTGACGATGTCTTCAGGCAAGGACAGCAGGCTTTCCTCAGGCTGCTTAATTAAATAGGTTTCTATATTATGCTTCCTCAGGAATTCATTCCTCTCTTTACCATGACCCTCTTCCACGTTATAGTCACCGTTGAGGCAGTCCAGAGTGGCTTTGGAAATGTGAATCCTCCTGTGTGTACAGAGTATAGGTCATTACACGGTCCTGATGATGCCTGTAACGCTGTCGCTGTTCTTTGTCCAGGGCTACATTTGGGGCACTGTTATGACACATCAAGTCAATACTTGTCTCTCTAAATGTGGAAAAACTAAAGAAAATAAAATTTTAAATATAAGGCCATGGGAAAGATGTCACTAGCTTTATCTCCAGGACACTGTAGACTCTGATAAGTATAGCCAGTTAATAACATCTAAGCAGTTTTTTTTTTTTTTTTTTTTTTTTTTTTTTTTTTTTTGCTTTTCTTAGAACTCTAATTCTTTAAGGATCAATGATTTTTTTCAAGGGTATTGATTACATTGGTAAACGGGTGATATAAGTGTTTCTGAAGCCCAGAGGCAATTATTGCACAAGTCATCATGCAGCAATAGTTCTTTTGCTGTCTTAGACCTTTTCCTATCATTTCATTTTTCATATATCAATCCCTATTTTTTCCCACATGTCTTGAATCATCTTAAAACAGGACAAAGTTTAATAGGCTCATAGTGCCCCATTGAGTGTGTTTGGAAAACTATAGTCACATGCAGTTTCCCCTGGAATGAGTACTGCGAGAAGCAGAGAACAAAGCTTTGGCACACGCAGGCTGGCGGCTGGAGAGGCTCCCTCACAAGCTGAGTGGCTCGCTGGTACTGCACCGCTGCTTGCCAGTGTAGCTCCTACCCTAAGCTTCATTGTTAAGCAAAATAATGTGTGACAAGAGACTCAAGGATTGATTAATGGAAAGTCACACAGTAGGTGCTCGTGGGGAAGTTTCTTGGTTCTCACAGTTAGATGACTCGTGGTGCATTGTGGTCTGGGAAGGTGAGCAAAGTGTGTACGAACATGGGCCGTGCTGCTACCTGGCCTCCATTTAAGCTCCAGTCCTACCACTGGGTGAGAGGTCTTGGACAAATTATTTAATCTTCGTGAGTCCATTTTCCCACCCATAAAGATGGGAAACTAGCATTACTTATCTGTTAAGTTCACTGTATTATAAAGGTCAATTTGTTCAAAACAGTCAAAATAGGGCATGAAATATAAAGACTATAGAAGCAAATACTTAAATTATTAGGGCTAGTGTCCAGTGAACACTGTATACTCCATGTCTCCTCAAGGCTCACAGGAAACAATAGTCCAGTTTCAGTGTGAGGCCTTTGGGGCCGCTGTTAGCTCTCTCTGTCACTTCAAATTCATTTTCTAGTGTTTCTCTATTACAGTCCTCCACACCTTCTTTAGCTATTCATGCAACTGGCATATATTTCTTCAACTCATTGTACTAGCCCATTCTTACTGATAATTCCCTACTGCCTGAGTTTAAAAATCACCTCTGGATGCCAAATTTAGTACCTGTAAGTAGATGAATGAATAAGGTGGATGCTTAATTCTTTGCTTGGCTTTTGAGACTATAGAAACAAGATTTCCAAAGAAACGATGAAGGCCAGTTTCAGCTTTAAATTTTTAGAGTGGTATTTCCAAATGCACTGTACTTTCAGCACTCTCTCTGCTCCCCCCTCCCCCTTCTAACCCATCTGATTACAGGGAAGACAGTTCACGGCAAAGTAACTGTGTAAGGCAATGAAAACTATCAATACATTTCTGACTATTTAAGGCATATTCTCTACATCTTCCAAATCATTATCCTCAGATATACTGGTTTCAGCATGAGATATAAAAATAGATGTGTGGATGTTGTTGAAGTTGTTTTGAAAAATAAATACGGGATGTTCTCATGATGCTTTTGCTGATACGTGAGAGCTCAGTAGTGTTCACTTGAAAGAAAGGAAGACCATGTGACTTTCCTTGACGTGGAAATACGTGCCTCCTTTCTCAGTCAAGTTCTGGTTTAGCTTTTGGAAATTTGCTTCCTGTAGAAAATAATGAAATTCTTAGAAGGATTCAGTAAAGTTTGATGGATGATTTTCTTTCAAAAATGAGGCCAAATATCAATCTTGTTTGGCATTTCATTTGAACTCTGCATTTTATTACTCTGCTATCAATGTTTGGGGGACTAATATTTGCATATACAAAGTCAATACAATGTTTTAAGTGGTAAAATACATTTTTGCCTTCACTTATGACTGATTATTCTGTTGAAGTTCTAATCGAAACCCTGTATTATCTTGATATAAACTGGGTTTTAGCTCTATTGTTCCATCCTTGCTACCAACCTGAGCTCTAGAGTGTGGCATTTGCAGAGATGAGAATCTGGTGATTGCATTTTCCTCTAAGGAAATGAATCAGCTCTTAGCAAATATTCACATATATCAGAAAATGTCAGGTAAGGCTGACATTTGTGATAATTTTAAATGCCAGCATATAGTAATGATAGTCATGATAGTAAATAAAATCTGTATAACACTTGTCTTATTTTACTGTACTTTTGCAGTCAAAGGTATTATTGTAGTCTGGCTTCATGGGCTATCTCGTACTCCAATAGACCTATGTGGAAGGTCTCTTTGTTTGTCTGTCTGTCTGTCTGTCTGTCTGTCTGTCTGTCTGTCTCTTTCTGTTTCTCTGTCTCTGTCTCTGTCTTTCTTTCTCTCTGTCTCTCTGTCTCTGTCTCTCTGTCTCTGTCTCTCCCCTTTCTTTCCTTGTCTTTTCTCAGGTGACAAAACTTGTCTAGGAACAATGAGTACATATCTGCTTCTAAGACTCCACCACTGGTTCACGTGGTAACTCCTGCAACCACAATCACTGCTCTTATCTCCTGAGCACAGGGCGAAGGACTCTGTATGTATTATCCAATTTAGCAAAAGCTTGACAACAGTGGTCTTTGAAGTATGGTACTGATAGAGGAGGCTAGAGTCTGGATAAAATTAGCTGGGAAAGTAAGTGTGACCTGTTAATTACATAGTCCCAGGAGGACCTGGCTGAGGAGCTAGGTATAATCTGCTAATTATAAAACCACAGGACACATGTACACATAAACTTCTTATGAGAACTTGAGCTGGTTTTTGACTGGATGACCCTAAACCTGATGCTGTTATGAACAACATAAAAAAGGGAAGCAGCTATTTAACTCCTATCCCTTTCCTTTCATGCTAGCCCAGGTTTTCCTTACAGAATGCATTTACTTTTTTCCCCTTATTTTCTTTTGTCCAAACTCCCTCTGCAAAACTTCACTACCTTTTGTGCTTATCTTGGCCAATCCTTCACTCAGGACAGAAAAACAAAATGTTGAAATCACCTCTAAAAGGTGACTCCAGCAGCCCAAGACCCAGTAACTATAGCAAGGCCTGCGGGATCTCCATCCCTGGGAAACTTGTTAGAAACGCGTGTTGCAGACTCCGCTCCGTATGCACTGGATCACAACCTTTGAGGCTGTGGCCAACCATCTGTGGTTTCACAAGCCTTCTTGTGAAGCTTGAAGCTTGAAAGCCGTTGCTCTAGAAATTCAGGCCTCAGAGAGGTTAAGGAGCCAGAGAGTAAAGAAGCAGAAAAGCCTGAAGTCAAATTATCCCAAACCACAGGCAGTCTGGAGACCTGTTTGGCATTCCCGGCTTCGTGAATGTGAATGTATCCCATGCTGAAGCCAGCTGCGAGCTGCATGGAAGCCTAAGTGCCTTACAGGCATTGGGGCACTTGAAGCCAACTTACGGAGATTTTTAGTGTTTTCTGCCTCATTCTGCAATGAAGAAACTGGGACAGAGACAAAGGCACTTGCCACTTTATTAACTACTATGTAAAGTATAGTTTAAATGAATGATTTGTGATTTAAGTCTAGTAAGTCTCCTGTTATTTATTTATTTTATTTTTTATGTATTTAGTACAGGGTGTACAGGGTTTCACTACACAGATTGGACTCGTAGTGCTTCTCTTGTTTTTCAGCCTCCCAAGCACTGAGATTATAGGTGCAGGCCACCAGGCCCAGTTTCAATCTCAGTGTGCCCCGGGGGTGGGGCTGGCACAGCAGGCAGGGGTGGGGGTGGGAGCGGGGGGGGGGGCTGGGGAGGTGGTCAAACCCCCAGCTCCTGCCTCTGCCTAAACAGGAGTTTTAATCAGCTGAGCAATCTTGCCAGCCCTCCTGTTACTTAATGTGGCTGAGAATATTCATTACAATGCACTGCAAATGTCGAAGCAGCATCCCTCAGACCCTTGTAGTTGTATTCTGATATCTGCAAACTGTCATTCAGCTGTGCTTTGAAGAGACAAATTTGTGACATAGATGTGCTGGCTATCTGCAGTTTAAATTCAACAGGTAAGGAAAGTATCAACAAATTTAATTTAGATTTAAGAAACTCTGTGATGGCACGCCAGGCTTCACCAAGGTCCAGACCTGTGTGGCAAGTGGTGATGGCAAATAGCAGGCAATGAGGGATCTTTCCTAAGGACACCAGCTCACGTGATTATATCTCTGTACAGTCTATGCAGTTCTTCTTAATCTGGTCCCAGGGAGGGCTCAGAAGAGATGTGCGAGGTGGGCTGCTCCTGTTTAGCAGATGAAGCAACAAACTCTCACGGAGGAGGGACATAGCCCACAAGTGACCATATCACAAGTACTCTCTCTGAGGATTGAAGCACCAACCTGAGTTTCCACACTCATGCCATGCAAGCTGAGTTAGCATGAAAAGTTCACACCAGGTGTTGTACTTGCTTCACACAAATTGGTGAAGAGAAAATAATTTAGCATGAGACAGAATGGGAATCTTAGGTTCTCTGATTCTATCTCCTGTATTTTTTTCATCACTACATTACACTGTCCGGTAGTAAATATAAAAGATTATAACAAGAGACCTGATTTCAAAGGCAGATGTGAGTGATGGGGAGAGGAATGTATGTAGATAGATTCTATCTATCTATCAATCATCTATGTGTCATCTGTTAATTACCTATCAATCGATCAATTCCCTGTCCACCTATCTACTTACCATCATTTATCCATCTACCTACCGATGTATCATCATCTCTTGGAAAGAGGCCACAGAAAGTCAGTACAACTCACTGGCTCATATATATTTGCAGGCTCAGTTTCGGTCTGTGTAAACGCAATCTTAATATTTCTATTTCTTTGTAAGGTTGCAGTCACCTTTTCAGGCTAGCAGCCTCTGGAGATGCTAGACCAATCAGTTGGCAGCCAGAATTGGAGCGTTGGTGAGTTTAAAAAGGCACAGAATTTCCTAAACTGAGACCAGGGTAATACATATATCGATGATCCTTAGGTTTAATTTTGACTGGCTGTTAGATTTGATTTAAGAATTTAAAATAGACTCCCCAGAGAATTTTCTTTAGATCAATAAATGTGAGGTCTAGGCATCAGTATTTTGAGAGTGTTCCTCGGAGGATTCCAGGGTGCAGGTAAGTCTAAGACCCAGTGCTCTGTGGGGCAGAAACACAGTACCTCAGTGTCGTCCCATTATCCTTGTTGCCTCTGAAATATTTTGTTAGATTTTTTAAGGGCCAATATTATGTGATGCTTCAATGTCTGACCTTCTGCCAAATAGTTTCGCCCTACATCTATGCTTCTCAACTCTGCATACCGGAAATCTACTCTCACAAATTTAGGAAATAACAGGGGTGAATCAACGAGGGCTTTGCTTCAACTTACCCTGGGATGCCTCCAGATTCAAGTTTGTTTGCAATGTCCACATCCCAAGACCAGACGTCAAACTGCCACTTTCTCAGTCCCAACACGCCACACAGCACCGAGCCTGAATGGATCCCGATCCGCATGTCAACGTCATGCTTCGTTCTTGACCGCACATATCTGTCAACATAGGTGAATGGAGAGGCACATTCGTAAGGGCGGCATGAACATCCTTGATTCCTGGTGTAGAACTGGCCTAGTTTGCTCCATGAGTTCACCTCTTGGCCAGTCAAGTATAACCTCATTCATGAAGGCTTTTTGCCTCCCTGATAACTAAAAAAATATTTTTTTTTCTTCCTTTGAATATCACAAGCCTTTTATGGGTATTTAAGTGCTCTCATAAATTTTTTCCTCAGACATACAATGTAAGCTTTGCCCAAGGAAATGGCATGACTTGATATTTTCTGACTTTATGCAGTACAAGACTGCTGTCCATTTGGTATTTATCGTAAACCCAGAGTTTGAATTCTGAATTTTGATCTTTCCTTGGGCAAGCCTTCTGTGATAGACCGATCCTTTGCAATGAGCTGCATAAAGACAAACAAGCAGTTCTCCATGGTGTGTTGTGTTGCAGATCTCAAGTGATTGATAGGTCAGGCATATGAATGCATTTTAGGCTTATGATATCTTTCATTTATGATAGGCTTAATGAGATATAATCTCATCATAAGTGGAAGAATATCTGCATTGCATTGACTTTTTTATTTTTCTGTATTTTAGGGGAGGGTCTACAGGGTGTTCAGGGTCTCACTACTAGATCAGGCTCGTAGTGATTCTCCTGTTCACAGCCTCCCAAGTGCTGGGATTACAGATGTGTACCACCATACCCAGTCTCAATCGCTGTCTCAGTGTGCCCCAGGGGCAGGGCCTGCACGGCAGGCCTGGGGATCAAACCCCCTCTCCTGTGCTGCTTGCAGGCACTTTAATCCACTGAACTACTTGGATGGCCCTTGCATTGACTTTAAAAACTAAGTTCAGATCTGTGGTTCCCACTAAAAAAATGGTGAAAGTAGGAAAATCTTTATGCAGTAATTAAGTTAAAAATATTTATTTCTTCATTCTCTTTAAAATTCATACCTCATGTATATTATGGCATATATTTTAAGTATAGTTACTACTATGTATTAGCTATATATGACATAGTTAATATAATTAATGTAGTTTGCAAATTATTTCATATTATATGTCCTTACATAATTTTATTAATAAGGATGAAGGATTAAAATATCTAGCTATCACTGGCCTGTAAGACAAAATGGAAAATCCTTGTCCACCCCATGCTTTAGCTAGTCCTCCAGCATCTGATGTACACATTAAACTCTGGCCATCCAACCATGAGTCATTGTCTGAGCTTGGTACTCCTTCTCCCCTTTGTGGGCCCATAACACCCTCACAGTTCCACAGGTCTGTTGCTTCATTCAGTTAAGAGCTCCTGCTCAACTCTTACGGTAAGACTTTAGTAATCTTGGCCAGGAAGCTCTTGTGGTGTCTCTTTCTGGATTATCTGGGTTTCCTAGTCTTCCCATTGCATCCTGAGTAAACAATAATTATGATGCTACCGTATATCTCCTGTAAACCCATAAAAGTAGGGACTTTGCACCATTTCTCCTTACATACCTAATACCACACTGGATTTGGTGCTTAACCAAGGCTCTATAAATGTGGACTGGGTCAGTGAATGGAAGCCGGTGTGAAGTACTGTTTTTCCCCATGACTGTATATCCATATTTTTGATGAAGACAGGATTCCTATCTGAGTCACATTGGTGTCTTGCACTGAATAGAACATCATAGAGTTTAAAAACATGACTGTAGAGCTGGGGAGAAAGCTCAGCAGACTAAGCGCCTACGTAGGCAAGCACAGGAATCAGTGTTTGAACCCTGGTACCGCATGCTGTGCCAGCCCTGCCCCTGGGTGCGCTGAGCCAGTAACCAAGTCCTGGCGTGGTGGTGCATGCCTGTAATAGTAGTTATGGGGAGGCTGAGACAGGAGGATCACTACAAGTCCAAACTGCAGAGTGAGGCTCTATATCAAAAGAATAAATATACAAAAACAAAACAAGCACCCCCAAAATAACAAAAGTATGACTCCCTTAAATAAAAAAAAAAGAAAAGAAAAAAGAACAACTGAATGAATAATTCCATCCACTAAACCAGATCTTTGTACCTTTCCTGACACGTGTAAAAGAATGCAACATCATTTAAACATGAAAGAAAGTTGAAGTGGGTTGAGAGTGTGGAAACACTGAAACAAATTACGTATTAGAAAGGCAAGACGAGAAGGGTAGAAGGAATGCTGCAGCTAGAACATGAGATGATTCTTGATTATTGTAAATTTTCTAGATTCTGGGCTGTTTTGTAATTTTAACATTAAAATATATAGTGCCCTTTATCCACAGACAATGACAGTAGAGAACATTCACACACACACACACACACACACACACACACACACGCACGCACACACACCATTTAATAAGGAAAGTGAGAGGACCCAGCCCTGAGATGCATATCAGCTTGGAATACACTTCCCCAAGGAGGCTGCAGGTGAGCTATTGACAGGGGTCACTTTTGCTGTCCACCCAGTATGACTGGCATGATAGCATCCCAGGGTCTCATAGAGCTGCACTTTCCTGAATATTTGATGCTATTTTCCATCTATGAAATATGAGCAGAAGGGGCATATGTCACCTGTGGGATGCTACCCTCGAAGCATGACCGACCAGACTCTTCTTTCCTCTATCAGTCAAGGAACTTGGTGATGGGCCTTTCCTGACCAAGGTCTTTAAATCAGAATGATGTACATTGGTACCTTAGTGTCCCCTCTCCACTGTTGCACAATAGATACAAAATCTTAATTAAAAAATTGATATTTTAAGCCATTGAGATTTTGGAAGATATTTATTGTATCAGCTTAAACAGAACTATTTTGATAGATGCAATCATTAGTATAACATTAAATCCTTTCTACTATGTCATTGTCACTATGGTGTAAGGGTTAATAGCCATGTACTCTAATGACAGGCTATTGCATCTCACTCTGACACTCATTTCTGTATGTCCTTAGAGACATTATTTTACTTCTCTCTCTCTTTTTTTTTCTTCTTCTTTTTTATGGAACTGGAAATTAAACTCAGGCCCTTGCACTTGCCAGGCAAGTGCTTATTCTACTGTGCTTTTCCCCTGGTACCATATTTTACTTCTCAATGCTCAATTTTCTATTTATTTATTTAGTATTTTAGGGAAGGGTCTACAGGGTGTTCAGGGTCTCACTACTAGATCAGACTCATAGTGATCCACCTGTTTATATCCTCCCAAGAGCTGGGATTATAGGCATGCACCACCATGCCCAGTCTCAGTCACCATCTCAATGAGCCCTGGGGATGGGGCTGGCATGGCAGGTCCAGGGATTGAACCCCTGGCCCCTGCACCTGCTTGCAGATGCTTTAATCCTCTGAACTATTTGGCTGGCCCTAATGCTCAATTTTCTGCATCTATAAAGTGTTAATAACAAAATTTTGAATATTAAGTAAGTGAACATACATAGTTTAGAGTAGTGCTTGGCATTTACTGAAGCCTATTGCTTGCTAATTGTATATGAAAGGACCGCACCCAGGAAACGTAAAGGATTTTCTGTGGCCACGGGGCTGCTAAGTAGGATAGCAGGATTAGATTGCCACAGCTTAAAGCCCACACTGTTGGCAACACAGAGACTGGTGCGTGCTCCCAGGCAAAGCTGACCCTGAGTTTAGTGGTTGTGAAACAAGGCTCTACCCAGTTGCTTCGCTACCAGAGCTGTTGTGAGCCCCAGAGGAGATAACGGATGCTAAAGTATTTTGCCAACTAATTGTGAGGAGCTATTATACCGCACACTGTGCTAAAGTCATTAGGTAATTAACACTATGTAGGGAATGCACTGGGGCATCTTAATGAAAACATGTTTTTATTTCCTTCTACAAAATGAAAGTCATAATAGGAAGACTTAGTCATGTGCTGTTTTTTCTTCGCTATATCTGTGATATACCTGAGATTTTACTTAAATAAGTAAAAGAGAAGCCTGATAATAATGCACAGACACTGGTCTTTTCAAAAAGGCTTCCTCAGGGTTGCCAGGAGCCATATGCAGAGAGTATTTCAGGCTCAGTTCTTGATGGGGTTACCTTTGAGCATTCTCACCGCTAAAATGCAGGTAGTTCTGCTCAGAGTGACAAAGTTGTGTTCAGTTTTTCCAGAGAGGAGCCCTGAGCATGTTTGCTGTGTCCAAAGAGTAGACAGGCAGAGTCCCTCTTGGTGGAAAAGACCTGCACCTTCTCCTTAAACGGAGGATGTTAAGAGCAGGGACTGTTCCTTTCTATTTAGTTTAATACCTAGCACAGGTACAGAGTCAATGCTCAAGGGTATTTAGAGAATGAATGGACCAAGCTTGGTGGATTTCTTGCTTCCCAGCTCTGTGGCTGCCCCCAGGTGGAGCTGAGTGTCCCCGAGGACCTGCGGAGCAGTCCGCCTCTGGATCTGCTGGGTGGGGAAGGCGGTGACCCTCCCAATCTTCTCTTGCCATGCAGAGCAACTCCTTTCCATTTATCATGGTGGGATTCCACTTAAGATTTCTTTTCACTGCAAACAGCCTTAGTTATTATTGGCCACTCTGGGGACAAATAACTTAATAGTTAATTGGCAAAGATTGAGGACATTATTTCCTCTAACTGGACTGTTAAGGAGGGATGTGACATTGATATGGTGAAAAGCAAAGAAACTTACAGTTTTTTTTTCAATCTGAATGCTACAAATAGTTCTTTTTAAAAAAACAATCAATCTGTAGATTTTGTGGGGGAATGACAGGAAGCAGAGTCTCATAGTAGTCAGTGATCTGTCGACGAGACTTTTTCACTGCAAAGTAAGCACCTGGGTAAGGGCACTGAATTCAGCAGAGTGGCAGTTTGATTCTGTGGCATGAAGGGCATTCAGCTCTTCAGTTTTGAGATCAGAGACAGAAATTGCACTGCTGATTCTATCTCTCTGACTGTGAGAGCTGGAGCAAGTTACTACCCGAATTGCTCGGACCTCACCAGGAGGTGCAGAATCTGCATCCGGGACACCTGGAGTGGAAATGGGTTTCTCCAC